CAGCAGCAGCAGCAGCAGCAGCAGCACAGCAGCAGCAGCAGTAGCAGCAGTAGTAGTAGCGATAACAACAACAACAGTAACAACAACAACAAGAACCACAGCAACAACGATGACGACGACGTCAACGAATATGACAACGACCACGAAGATGATGACGGTAATGATGATGATGATGATGATGATGATGATGATGATGATGATGATGATGACGACGATGATGATGATGAATGGTGATGATGATGATGACGACGACGACGACGACGACGATGACGACAGCGACGATCACAATAGCAAGAGGGGTACGATAAGAATTTATCTATAAACAAAAAGAGAAAGCTTATAAATACATGTAACATAAAGTTAACAATTATCCAATATAATATTGAAGTCCACATCCATCATGACTCTATATATATAACTTTGTAGCTGTTGTTATAGATCCGGGGAAATATAACAGATGCAACGATAATTTTAAGCACAACAACAACAATCAAGAGCATACAAGAACTGAGATTTAGGAAATAACAAACAATTAATTGGAAAGAAAGAAATGATTTCTTAAGAAACCGCCAAACAAATCAAACAACAACAACAACAAAAAAGAACATAATTTTGAAAGTGAGTGACGATTTCTGAGAAAAAAAAACTTAGAGAAGGAATGACGGAGATTATAGTGATATGGGAGAAGGAAAAAATAAACCAATTACAGCATCAGCAGCAGCTGCAGCAGCATCAGTAAATACTGCAAAAACTAGACCTACTACAACAATAACAACAATAAATCACCCGCAATGAAAACTACGTTAAATGTAACAGGATAATCATCCAAACATGCACATTACATTCTTCTTTTAAATTTAAAAAAAAATACTGAAGACTAGATCTAGATCATTGTTCTTTGAAATTGCATTCACTCGTACACGCTAATATTACTAATATTATAGCAAATAGTACTCACCCCCCAAGTCAAACTCTTGTGTGTCTGTCTGTCTGTCTCTCCTTTCTCTTGCCCTTAGCTCCAGGATCTTGTGCAGATCACTGTCTTCCCTATCCACTTACAACATAACAACAAAGTAACGGAACCGTCACCCCCCGCGAAACACTGTCCCTCTACTCTACTCTACGTGCCTACAGAAAGCAGCGAGGCGACATCCCATCACCATTTCGCGCTCAATGGTAACCAGGAAGGCAGGCCCGACAACCAACCAGGTGGAGCAACAAGTTGACACCCCCTCTGCTAGCCCATCTTCAGCTCGTATCATTGGTCGCCTCGAT